ATTTGAAGCGAGTTTTTTTGATACAGTTGATTTATTATAGGCCGTTATTATATCATTCTGAAGAATTGTAATTTGTGTATCAATTTCTTCGGTACTCTTTAGAGCTGCAAGGTTTGGTTTATTTAATGTGAGAATATTTTGAAAAAGATTCCAGTCGGTTCTAGTGATCTGCTTACTCGCCTGTGTTAAGGATATCCCAATCGAGATGTAGACTGGAAGGTGATCAGAAGATAATGCATTTATAACGTCAGCTGCTATGGGTGTATTCAAATTGGAAATAGCGAAATCAAGAATGTCCGGTCTTTGATTTCTCATGTTTGGTAGATATGTGGGACATAATGGCGCGATAACAGTGAGTGCGTGCTTATTCACGAGATTCTTGAGCTGTAGTCCGTTGCGGTTGGTTCTGTTGCATCCCCATGTTGTGTGTTTCGAGTTAAAATCTCCAGCTACAATTGTCTCTATGTTTGTTGGGAAAAGTTGTCTGATGTCATCGTCTGAGAGAGCATTACCTGGAGCATTGTAAATTCCAGTGATCTTGATGTTTTTGTTATCGTAGTTAAGAAAAATTGAGATTTGTTCATATCCAGCTTGGTTTGATTTGTTAAATTCGGTTGTCATTAGGCTATTCTTCGCCAGGAGGGCAACTCCCCCACCTCTGAAATTCCTGTCACACCTGTAGGTCATATAGTTGGCAACTTTTATGTGATGCTGTTTGTTAAGATGAGTCTCTGTGATAATCATAATATCTGGGTCAAACTCAGAAATAAAGTCTTTAAGTTCGTGTATTTTGTTAAAAATTCCGTTTGCATTCCAGTTTATAACGTGAAGTGGTGCTTTACGAGAAGTGGCTTTATTCATTAGTTGTTGAGGATTTGGTTGATTTTACGGCTTCTGTTGCTCTTAGTTGGCGAATTAGGTTGAATTCTTCATTGTTTTTTAAAATTTCCGCAAAGTTTTTATGTTCGTTCAGGATTGTGTGTGCTTCTTGAACCAGACTTCTGTCTTCTTGCTGGGCATTTTGAAGATCCCGAAGCTTAGCTTCTTTAAGGGTTGAGGCATATGTTGCAGTTGGAGCAGTTCTATTTCGGTAGACCTCGTTATTTTGGTTATTGGAGCTGTAACTGTGTCCGGATTCAACTTGAGGATATTTAGAGCATTGTTTATAATTTGAAGGGTGGGAACCACCACAATTGGCACACTTGGCCGGACTATCTTTGGATTTTTGGCAGGTATATGTTAAGTGCCCTTCACCACACTTTAAGCACTTAGGAGCATGTCTGCATAAGTGTTGAACGTGGTTGAAGTTCTGACATCTATGGCACTGTGTCACACCACCGCGCCCTTTGTAATTGTCTACAGTGATTATTAAATTCATAAGTCTCGTGAGGTCGTAAATCTCCTTGTTGTGATGATTATTCTTTGGTAATGTCACTATAAATAAGGGCAAGTTAATTCTACCTTTTTCAGTAACTTTTGTCATTTGGGTAACTTTAGTTGGGACAAATCCCACTTTGATGAGTTCGTTTTCAATTTCATCTGCATCGTATTCGGCAGGTATGCTTTTGAGCACGACTTTGAGTGGTTTGTCCTGTTGAAGAAGAAATGTATGATATTCGATCTTGTTGTCATCTAGGATTTTTCTGATTTTTCTATGAGCATCGTCATCTGCTACTTTTAAGTTGATTTGATCACCAAACACTTTGCCCGTAAAGTCTGAGCAGTTGTTATTATGAAGCAGTTCTTTAATTTGTTTCCAGTTAAAATTAAAGTCTTTGATGAGGATTGGTGGAATGCGTTGCTTTTTAAACTTGGGAGTTTGAAAGAAGTCACTTTCATCTTCTCGTTGTTTTTTGTCGTCAGATTCAAATCGAGGTTTTTTGTTTTTGTTGAATTCTTCTTCGCCGCTTTCTGCTGATGGAAGCGTATCAATAACTTTTTCAAGTTCCATAGCGTTTTCTTCATCGGTTTCCAATGAATCGCTTAGTTTATTATCGCTTAATATTTTTTTGTCTTTATTGTTGTTGGTGACGTCATTTTTAGTTGCCGCAGTTGTATTTTGCTAGCTTTTTGTTTTCTTTTTAGTTGATATCTTACGTTTTTTATGTGTAATCGGAAGGGTTGGGGAAATCACTGGTTCTTGTGCTTCATCAAGAGCTTTTTCCAGATGTCTTTCCTCTGCTTCTAATTGAGAGTTCTTGGTGCGAAGATCCTCTATTTGCTCATTTAATTTTGCTACTTGCTCAACTAGAGCACATAACCGAAAATTCATGATAGAAAAATGCTGCGCCATGTCTCCTGACTGAGGAGTAGTTGTTGTAATAGAACAATCATTGCTATTTGGGTTTTGAACCTCCATGGTTTAGTTCACTGTATACTTTCAGTAAAAAATAATAATAATGTAAATAAATATTCACTTGAATATTTACCACATAAAGTAAACTTGCAACTACTGAGTCACATTTAGCAATCGACGAGTGTAACTCACTCGCTGTATTTCCGCTTGCAAACTCCAACGTGGCGATCAGTAGTCAAAAAATCAAGCAATCACTGTCGTAATTTTGAGCTCCTCAAATATCTAAAGTCTGTCGATAGAGTGCGTGTAATAATCAACTCCTGTAATCTCAAATTTATCACGGCGACAGAGATGCCAACTGCTCCGGACATGCCAAAATAATTAAATAAACGGTAAATAACTACAAAGTAAATTTTGCAAATATTTGACTATTTTTGCTTGCTTTTTAAAAAGCATAGCATGCATACCTGCCAACTTTTACGCATTTGGCGTAAAATTTTATTTCAATATTTAAAGTGGTAGTAAAATGTTTGTTTCTATATATTCCTTGTATTTATAAACTCAATTCATAATCTTTTTGATCCACCACTATTTTTAAAAAAATTAAGATTATATATTAATATGTAATACTTTTGTGGAAGGCTGTATAAGCTTGTTCAAAACACAGTGCATTTTTCTGCATATAATTGCAAGTTATATTCTAATTGATTACCACTGGCGAAAAACATCCTAGAAAGGATTAAAAGTTGGCAGGTATGAGCATGACATAAGTCAAATAAGTGGTGAATTATATAAGCCTACAAATTATTTAGAAATAGTGGTGGATAAAAATCTACTAAATTGAATTTAATAAACCAAGAATCACAATTGATAACCTACCACTTAAAAATATATATTTGCTGTCCGGAGCAAGCTGGCATCGCTGCGGCGAAGAAGCAATTGAATATAAAAATTTCTTCCGTTAAAAACAATTGGTAGTAATGGATTTTTATTATTCCCGGAAAAAAACTAAAAAATGAAATTTATTGTTACCAGTTTTTACTTCGGTGCGCTGCCAAGATGAGAATCTAGCGTGACCCACAGGTGGATCACCCCGGCGTGAACGTGTTAAAATATTCCCATACAATTCTGTTGCAGGTTACATATATCTTACATTATTCTTAATTTGTAGAGCATATAAACTGTATACTTCTTTATGAATGACCCTGAATTTTATTACAATATTTAAATAATTCTTAATTGTGAAGTTTTTTTAGTTCATTATTGTTGAAACAATATTAATGATGAATACGTACCCACATTTATCAACACATATTAGAGCAGAGGTAACTTTATTTTTTACTAATCTGGCTCAAAACATTTAAAAAGAATCTTATGGAAATCTCTAGGATAATAGTACAAGTTCCATTATCGTTAA